AGAGGAAGGAGAAAAGGAGGAGATGAGGGTCAGGGAGAAGAAGGTTCCCCTGAGCTGCTCCCCTGCAGCCTTGTGAGGAGGGGCTGTGTCTGTGGGGAGGGCAGCTGAGGGGGCACAGGGATGCTGAGGACCAGGAGCTTCACCTCTGCTGAGACAGGAAGGGACAGGAAGGGAGGGAGCTGTCAAGGAGGGAGCCTGGGGGAGACATCCCACCCCTCCTTCCTCCACAAGGGCCTCCTGCTCCAGACCCAATAAGCAGCTGCATCAAGAGTCCCTGGTGTGATGGGTCCTTAGGAGGGTCCCTGAGACCACACAGCAGCCATGATACAGAGTATGAAAAGAGGGAGGGACAGACAGATGGACCAACACAAACAAGCACTGGAGGGAAGTGGAGGGAGGCCCCATCCCCAGATCAGCCCCTGTGTCTCCAGAACCACAGTCTCCAGTCAGTTCACACTGTGGGGTCACAGAGCCCCTGACCCTTCCCCCAACCAGGGGCAGCTGAGCCTCTTGAGAACATGGGTTCAACTTGCCTGGAAGGGTGGGGATCCCAGAAGTTACAACAGTCCTGAGTTGTGCGATTTATGAAGGTTCACCCTAGGAGACTTCCCTTCCTGTCCCCACAGTCCCATCCACTTCTGACATCACCACCACTGAGACCACTCAGGAAGGGCTTCTAATGTCCCTTTAATTCACAGTCAAGAGTTAGAGGGGATTTACTTAAACCCCTTTAATGAGGAATGACTGACATGAGAGCCCTGTGCACATCTAATCTACACAGCACGATGCATTTGACGATATGCAGACACATATGAGACATCCCACAGTCTAAGCCATAGGCACATCCACCACCTCCCAAAGTTTCCTCCCACACTTTATTATAATTAATGTGTGTCAAGATTCTTTAAATATGATTCACTCTCTTAACAAATGTTTAAATGAGCATTACAGTATTACAGCTGCAGGCACTGGGCTGTCCATTGAGGTACTTTTTAAATGAACTTTCCTAATAAACAGAAAAGGGAGAAAATGCAATAAAGACACAGACAAGGGTTCAGGACCAGACTCTGAGCTCTATGTCCACATTATTCTGAAACCAGGGCAGCTGCCTGGGGATTGCATACTCCCTGGATGGACCAGCCTCAGCCCTTCCAGACCCTCCTTCCCCACATCTCCCCAGTGACCCCAGGCTCCTCCCCAGGACCCTGGCCTCACCTTCCTAGTCCCCTCTGTCCCTCTGCCCTTCCTGCCCCCTGCCCCTGCACTGCTCTCATCATGGCTCCTGCCCCCTGCCCAGCAGAGCCCAGCTCCTGTGGGGGAGAAGCAGCCTCACTCTCCCTGTCAGTCAGCTCTGCTCCTTCCTCCTGGAGCTGCTCCTGCATTAGCTCACACAGGAGACCCAACTGGCCCCAGAACCTTCTAGTTCACACCCAAAGGATCAAGTCCCCTGATCCCCTCACCGTTCCCCCTCTATCTCCTCCTCCTCTGAGGTGACCCCTCCCATGACTAAAGAGCAGGAGGGGAGAGGAGAGGCCCTAATACTGACAGAGACTGTCCCTCCCAAAGGGGACCTGCCCCTGGTCCTGGGGCTTCCCTTCCCCTCCCCCTGCAGGGTGAGGCCTCCTGCCCTGGGGCTGCTCTCCGCAGGGGACACTCCTCCCCTGGAGCAGGGTGACCTCTGGCTTCCAGGTCAGCTGGTCAGAGGCAAAAATTCCAAACTTGGAGTTCATGTCTCTGGGGCACCTGAGAGGATGATGTCAGATAAAACGTGGATCATCTTCTTGATCAACACAGGATATGACAGATCCCTCCAGGTGCATGGGAAAGACCACGTGACTGTCAGAGTCTGAAAATTGGAGGAACGAAGAGATGAAATAGGGAGAACAGAAGATGGGGCCATGGGAATATCAGGCAGGAGCACCCCAAGGCTGTGGGAGCCATGTCTGCTCTGCCTGAGATCACAGTGATGACATGGTCCCCGCAGAGCTGGGAGAAGATTGGAGTCCCCATAGAGGAATTAGAAGTCGTGCTGGGAGAAGGATCCTGAGAACACACACTGACTCTTCCAAATCCCCCCTGACCTGACCACTTCGGGGCTCCTAACCCGCTGGATGAAGATCTCACCTCCTCAAGTGACTCCTCCCTGAGCCCAGAGAGAGAGAAAGAGAGGAAAAGAGGGAGACCAGGCTGGGAACAGCTCACAGAGGATAAGGGGACAAGCGCCACCCAGGACTCTGGGGACATGGACTCTGGGGCTCAGCTCAGGGTGGACAAACTCCTAAGGTAAGAAGGACCATGAGTGTTAGATGAGCAGCTTCAGTTTAGACCCAGGGTCTGCCATGGGGAGTCATGCTACTCACGTCGTCCTACAAAGGTCCGGGCATGGGGCAGATTCCTGAAAAGTCAGAAATCTCCTTAGCTGACTCCTGCTACATTCTCCTCATTTGTTTACGGCTAGTTTCTACCATTGCAAATATAGTTATTTAAAAGTGAAACTGCAAACACCGATCAATTACTGAATAACTAATTTGAGGACAAATGGCACTGAATGATACAAATATTTCATTTTTTATAAAATTAGTAGTCCTATGCTAAAAGGCAGCAATTCAACATTTGGCCTTACATTAACAAGTGAAAAAACTTCTGAGAACAAAAGGCTGTAAATATCCCTCAGCCGAGTCTTTTAGTATGGCCCTTGAGGCAAAGGCTAGTTGGAGAAGGAAATTCTTTTACCTTAAGGTTAGTAATAACAGATAAGTGTCAGAGGTGAACCAGGCTTCTAGTGTGAGAAAACTCCTGATAAGCAAGGAGGCGCCATAACCGACTCCTGCTAAATTATTCCTGTTTATCTGGGGCTAATTCCCATGGATGTAGCAATTAGTATGGTAGTGTTAGAGTATATATTCAAGAATAAGTCAACAGCAGTTTTGTGACTGATTGAGCCAGCTATAGCCATCTTTGGCCATGCCTCTGAGGAAATATTTGTAATTCCTTATAACTACAAACAACAATCAGCAATTTTACAGAGAAAGGGATTTTCCCTCGATCATAAAGTTAGATACAGAAACTAGGCTGACTAGATAAGTAGAAGAGTGATAGGTAGAAAACTCTTTGTTTAGATTAGGAGAATTCCTCCCTTAATTGAGAGTTGGGGGCTAGGGAAGAGTCAGTGTGGCTTGCCTGGCATTAACGCCCTCCAGGCCCTTGGTTCCTTAATATCCAATCAATATTAAAATAATATACTATAGATAATAACCTCTATATAATAGCCTTCTGTTTTTTACTTTAACCAATTAGTTATATGTTAGTCTAAACTTTATAAGATAGTTAGGAAAAATCCCCTTGACTTCCTTCCCCCACGTAACTTCCTGTCCTTTTGTTTCTCCTAGCCTCTAGTTAATCCCTTTGTTATAGAGCAGCCCCGATTTTGGGTTCCTGGCTGTGGGTCCTCACCTGCGCGCTTAAAAGGGACTTATTAATACCCCACTACAGGCACACACAAAAGGTTAATAAAAGGTTTATTTGCAAGGGAAAAGGAAATAAGGAAAATGTACAACTCAGGGAGAAAATAGGGAAATAAAGTCTTTAATGCGTCCTACCCGATCCACCGACCTGGAAACCCAAAGTCACTCTCAGAGCTGCCCGGACCGCTTTGAGCTGGTGGAGAGCCAAAATGGGGGATTCCCCAAAGCCCACGTGTCTGCCTTTTATATCCACCTGGCTGCTTAACCCCACCCTCAGGTCCCAGCCACCTTCCCTTTGGTGGTGAAGGGATTTGGAGTTCCCAGTGTCTTTGGCTTTGGCCTGGGGTGGGGGTGGAGTCCACAAAGCCTGTATGGAATTAGCTTTAGGACATCCTTTTCCCCCTAACACCTTCACCTTAGTAAACACAGAGATGTTGGTGCAGCCGCTTAAGCTTTTTGCTAGTTGTTTAAGGTAAATGACTACTCTGAGAAACTTCTTTCTAGCAAATGTGCCTCCTTTAAATCAAATGATAAATGTGACAACCTCAGCGACAGTTTTGTTTAGCAAATGTCCCTCCTTTAAATCAAAAAATAATAAATGTCACAGCCTCTGCGAAAGGGTAAATAAACCCTTGTTGTTCTGGGAAAGATGTGATTGTTATCTTCCCTAATGCATATGCTTATGCACTCTCCCAGTTTGCTTGAAATGTATAGATAAAGAGCTGCTGAGACTCTCAGCACGAAGATGCCTGCACCCTGACCCAGTGTCTGCATCTCCTCACTCCTTCTGTTATAGGGCAGGGAGAGGGGCAGCCCTAATCTTTTGAGTGAAACTGGCACAGAACAATTTCCACAAATTAAAATCTCTTAGCAAGTCACTACAAACAAATTACACACAAACACACAGAATCTTCACAAAGCCCAAGCCAGTTTTTCAACAGCAAATCGACATATGAAACAAACACACTAGAGAAACCAAAAATCAAATTTGCGCTTATGGTAGCCAGTGCCATAGGGAAGCCCAGTTTCCCATGGGGCTGACTAACCACGGATGGCTCTGTCCTAAATCACGTTGGACGCCAAATCTGTTATAGGGCAGGGAGAGGGGCAGCCCAAACCCCACAAACCTGCCTATTCTAAATGGGTTCTGCCATCCACCGCATCAACACAAAACATGAGACTTTAGTGGGAAGGAACTTTAATACAATTAGGAAACGATACAGGAAAGGTAAAGAATCTAGTTTCTAAATCAAGCACCCAAAGTTACCCGTCCCCTCGTGGGTAAAAGTCCATCCAAATGGGATTGGCCCAGAGCAAGGCCCCAAAGCCTGCCACAAGTCTAAAGCATCTTCCAGTGGGGACCCACAGAAAAGGGTCACAAACAACCAGACAATCCCGGAAGGAAAAGAGCAAAATCAACATCAAGATAAAAGCTGCCATGGTCACCTCCCCACGGGTCTCACCCACATCTGTGTCACCCAGTCTACGACCAAAAGACAAGCCCAGTTTCTTCACGTGTCTCTAGGCTCCATGTACCTCCTCCAGGGCTCCTTCTGGCTCCATCCTGCCTCCTTCCTCAGTCTCTTCTGCAGCTTCTCCTCTTCCTGCTCAGCTCCACCCTCTCTTGGGTGGGGCAAGGAACCTCCCCCTTTCCTGGGGACCACCCTGTTACACTTCCCCCTTCCCCCTTCCCCCTTCCCTCACCACTTCGCAGATGCCATCCCATTCTTCAAGGAACCCTGACATCCAGGCTGCTGTGGCAGGCTCGCGGCAGTCTGCCCTGGCCTGTCTGGGGTCTGGTGTCTCCTCCTCTCCTCAGGCTGCTCCTCAGGTCTGCAGGGGATGGTGCTGAGCTGTGTGAAAGCTGGGATTTCAGTTCCTCATTTTTATGTTGAAAGCAGGGGATTTTTAATGCATTTACTTTAAAATGACTAGCATAAAAGTTTTCTACTACAATTAATACAAAGTTTCCTGTATAAAAATCTGTCTTGAAATAAGTAATCTTGACTTCCCAGATCTGCCCCCAACGTGGCAGTGGGGAAACGCTGAGAGTAAGTCCTCCCTTAAAAAAAAAAGTTAATAGGGAGGAAAGCGGCAGGTCCTTGCAATAACTGTGACGCGGAAGATAAACAGGCAACTCTGGTAAATGCCCGAAGGAGAAAGTTGCCATAAAAGAGGACAAGAAGGGAGGAAAGCTGCTACCCTCCCCCACCTGGGACTCTGACCAATGGAGAAGAGGAAAAACAACCAACAAGAACAAACTACAGCTCAAGTGGGACACTGAGTAGAAAGGAACTATTTCAGGCACCGCACCCTGTGATCTGGGACTGTGGAGAACTAGGCAGGAATCGCCACAGAGGTGAGCGAACAGCTCTGGTGCCATTAGAGGACAACAAGGACTCCCTCCCTATAAAGAGCTCAAGGCCAGCTGGTAAGCTTGTGCGGAAAAGCTGCGCACTCCAAAAGCATACGCGGATCTGAGCTGCCCAGGTCCCCTTGCCTGCAACCTAGGCTTGTGGGAAGATGCACAGGAGCACTCATTGAGGTGAATGTCCCTCACTAGGTAATAAGAAACCAGGCACCAGGACATGGGGACGGGGTGCAAAAGGCACCATTTCTGCGGACACTGAACTGGGCTACAGCCTGCATCCTGGACCTGAGGGCTTCGGAACTGAGACCCGGGGCACGAAATTCGGGGTGTGGGATTCCCACACTGGTGGGACACAACACAGACACAACACCCCCACACCATTGATATTTCATGCCACTCCCACTCTGTTCCCCTGGGACCCATGGGGGAAAAAAACAATTCTGTAAGGACACCAGGAAACATCTCTGGAGCCATCTCTAGCAAACAGAACAAAATCACCAACATCCTGATAATTGGAAACCAGGGATCAGAAAAACACTCTCACGCAAACAGGGGTAAGGAGGGGAATAAGGTGTGGAGTAAGACCCCATCCTGAAACTGAGAGCCAGGCACAGGATCTGGGGCTTGGGACGCACCATAGCAGTGGGCACTGCACAGGGTGACAGCCAGTGTTTTGGATCTGATAGCCCTGGAACTGAGACCTAGAGTGCAGAATTCAGGGCACGGGATACATACAGCTGCAGGCACAGCACTGGGTGAACAAGGAGCAGACACAGCACCCGGCTTGAATAAGAGTCGCTGTGTTGAGGTGCTCCCATCCACCTACCATCTGTTTCTCAGAAAACCACAGGGGAAAAGCACAGGTCCGCAATTACTTGTCTCTGGCACCACCTTGTGACCAGAACTAAATCACCAACTAGCTGATTCCCTGTTGGAACTGAGTAAATACAGAGGGAGGGAACTGTAAGGGACGGTGCCCAGCAACACAGCATCAACACCCTGGTGGAGTTTTGGCCTACCAGTGCCGGTCTCAGTCTGGTAAACAGTTTCTGACACCCCTAAAGGAGCACTCCAAAGAGATGCCCGCCAACACCAGTGGTACAACGTCCCAACCCATAGAACTAATTAGAAAACAAACAACAGGGAGAAGAAAAAATATAAATAACCAAGCAAGCCCACAGGAGGACACACCACAAAAAGAAATACAGTCACCAAAGCTCAACAATGACATGGAAGAACTTCTTGGTCTATCAGATCGAGAATTAATGATCATCATTGCCGGGGACCAGCCTCCGGCAAAATGTCGTGTCAGGGGTTCCTGAAAGGATGAGACAGCCTCAGTGAGGATGAGACAGCCTCGGTGACTTGTAAGGGGCTGAAACTCAAGGGCTGAGGGGAAGGGGATGAGGTAGAATGAGGAGACACCGACACTTGGTGAGGTGCTAGTATCTTCTCCTCAAAGGCTCAGCAGTTTCTTTATTTATACATTTTTTTTTGCAAGCAATGAGATGACATTATCATGTGCATAGAAACAAAACAGAAACAATCAGTGAATCCCTTTTTCCATGGGCTTTTGGGCACTACGAGCTCTCAGCAAGAAGGCAACCTTCAAGGTTAATAAAAAACTAAGCCTTACACTAAAACTAATTGTTTCAACTAAATAATAACCTAAGACAGTAGATAGCCGCCAGTACATCCCTATCAGCCAAAGCCTAAGCAAGAAAAGACTTTTCTTATTCACATGGCCTTCAGCTGGGGACCGGCTGCTACTCAGCTATCAGAAAGAACTTTTTCTATTTAGAATCTCCTAACTGAAATATCCTCATTTAAAAACTTTCCCAAGAAACTTCAAGAGAAGGCAAAAGAAGGACCCACTACAATTGTTGTGCTGGATTGCTTGTCAGGCATGCACAACAAACCATCTCCCATTGTCAAGTCGGCCAAACTGCCCAACAACTAATTTCTAAACAGACAATTTTCCGTGCCATTTTCTTACAGTATGCTGATACATATAATTTACAGCCTAATATACTTTCTGATAAATTTTTCTCTCTCTGTGACCAAGAACAAAAAGCAAAGGGATGCCAGATCTTCAGCCCCACGGTGTCAGGCCCTGTCTCTTAGCTGTTTGTCAGTATCCTATCTGGCTGGAGCAACAAGGCCTCCTGAAGCACATCATGATTAAAAAGCAGAAAGAAAATGAAAAGGAAACAAATTATTTGCAACAAATAATCACTGGACTGAAGAATGAAGTTGAGACCTTAAGAAAGGAAAGAAAAGAAATGCAGGAGATTTAAAGATTACTAGAGGAGATAAAGAACTCTGGGAAAAACAATGAAAACAGAATCGATGAAATGGAAGAATGGATCAGTACTATCGAAGATACGGAAATAAAAAGAGCCAAAAGAGAAAAGGAGAGAGAAGTGCAAATGAAGCAGTATGAGGAGACTCTTAGACAATTATCAGACTCCATGAAGAGAGGAAATGTAAGAGTTACAGGCATTCCAGAAGGTCCAAGGACAGAGACAGGGGAACTGAGAATTATTCAAGGAGATAACTGAAGAAAACTTCCCAAGCATGAAAAAGGAGACAAATATAGACATATAAGCAGTGAGAAGAACTCCCAATTACCACAATGAAAAGAAAACTACAGCAAGACACCTAATAGCAAAGCTTGCAAGAGTCCAAGACATGGAAAAAATAATGAAACTGGCAAGGGGGGAGAAACAGATAACTTATAAGGGAAAACCAATCAGGTTAACTTCTGACTACTCCAAAGAAACATTATGGGCAAGAAGAGAATGGAGTAACATATTCAGCAAACTTCAAGACAGCAAATGCCAACCAAGAATACTTTACCCTGCATAGCTCTCCTTCCTCTATGAAGAAAAAATATGGACCTTCTCAGACAAACAGAAACTCCAGAAATTCATTAGAACTAAACCCCCACTCCAAAATATTCTACAAGAAGTCCTAAAGCCAAAACCAACAGAGGAATGAACAAGAAGAACAGAATAACGCAAGGAATAAAATCACAAAAAAAGACAAACAAAATGGCAAACACAGATGCCAGCATATCAATATTAACTCCAAATGTAAATGGATTAAACTCATCAATAAAAAGATACAGAGTACCAGACTGGATTGAAAAACAAAATCCAGCCTTCTGCTGTCTCCAGGAAACACATTTAATCACAAAAGATAAACATAGACTGAAAGTAAAAGGTTGGAAGACAATCCTGAGAACAAATGGACCAAAAAAGAAGGCAGAAACAGCCATACTTATATCAGATGAAATAGACTTCAAATTAAAAAAGGTAAAAAGAGACATAGAAGGACATTACATTATGATCAAGGGGACAATACATCAGGAAGATGTAACACTCATCAACAGATCCTCACCAAATGTAGTGGCACAAAATATATAAGACAATTATTATCAGCTCTGAAAACAGACATTAAAGAAAAGATATATAATGGGAGACTTCAACACCCCACTCTCACCAATGGACAAATCATAAGACAAAAAATAAACAAAGACACTAGAACCCTAAATAAAGACATTGAACTCATGGACTTAACAGACATCTACAGGACACTGCACCCAAAAAAAAATCCGAGTACACATTCTTCTCAAGTGTGCATGGATCATTTTCCAGAATTGACCACATACTGGACCACAAGACAAACATCAACATTCCAAGTATCTTCCAACTATCATTCCAACTATCTTCTCCAATCATAAAGGCATCAAGCTAGAAATAAATCAAGAAAAGAAAACAAGGAACCCTCCCACTTCATGGAGATTGCAATCCACACTGCTGGAAGCCCACTGGACTAATGAGGAGATCAAAGAAGAAATTAAAAAATACTTTGAGCTGAACAAGGAGAACACCACTTTACAGAATGTATGGGATACAGCAAAAGCAGTAAAGGAATAAAATATATAGCAATACAGGCTCACATGAACAAACAAGAAAGAACTCAAAGAAACAACCTAACCTCACATCTCAAAAAGCTAGAAAAAGAACATCAAAAAAAAACCTAAAGCCAGTAGAAGAAAGGAAATAATAAAAATCAAAGCAGAAATAAATGAATTGGAAATTAAAAAAATATTCCAAAAGATCAATAAAACCAAAAGTTGGTTCTTTGAAAAAAAATAAATAAAATATGGGCCTTCCCAGTGGCGCAGTAGTTGAGCTCTGGACTGCGAAGCTGCCCGCTGCCTCTGCAGTGCCGGGTCA